TTGTAACTATTATTTAGCTATCTTTTCTTTTTTACAATCATTTAACTATCGCTGCCTATCTTGAAAAATAGATACATAAAAAAAGGAAATGACACATTTTCTGGTTCAAAGATTATCGAGCTAATTCTGCTTGGCCTTCTTATTCAATCATTTTCTTTAGGAATGGCTCCTGCAATGATCTTCTATTGAATAAGATGTTTCCAATCTAGGGATGAATGCAGTTCATGCTTCCATTGTAGCGGTTCTCTTGCACATTTATCTCGGCTGGACTCTAATTGGAGTTATTGAAAATTGGCAGTTTTTAAAAGCAACATTTCTGATATGGGAATATAAGTAAAGATGGATACTAGTTTTCTGGGGCAACACATCTGGAAATTCAAAGTTTAATATTTGTTGCACTAGTCTTCCCACCCTTTATGAAGCTGCATGTTCAATTTCTCAGGGTGACTTTCATTTCTGAGTGTCTCTCTCTCACTCAGTGTATGTGTGCATGTTTGCACGCGCCTGTGTTTGTGTGATGGCAAGAGCATCCCTCTTTGCCCTGTGGGTGGGAACATTAAGGCAAAAAAATACCACAAACACAATGATGAAGGCAAAGAACAAAATTGGATACTGACTCGTAAAAATATCTACGTTGATTATTAGTTATATCTTGGAATTACTTGATCTTGAGATTGTCTTTTGCATAACTAACTGTGAGTTTTCTTTTAGGAGATTTGGTGCTAATTAGGAGCTACATGTTTCCTTTCTCTTTGCACTTGACCTTTGCAATAATACTTCTCAAAATGGGGGAACAACGGTGAGGTGGACATAAAATATGAACTAGAGCATCTAATTATCATTACATCCCGTAGATGTCTTTTGGGTGAAGAAGTTCGTAATAAGCTCTTTGATGACGTGTTGGCTCTCTTCCATGATCTCGATAGTGGTATGCTCCCCATCAGTGTTATCTTCCCATACCTTAGTATCCCATCCCACCGCCGCGATGACCAAGCTTGCAAGAAGCTTGCAGATATATTTGCTACCATTATAGCTTCCCGTAAACAAACTGGCAAGTCAGAAAATGACATGTTATAGTGCTTTATGGAGTCCAAGTACAAAGATGGTCACCAAACAACCGAGTCTGAGGTCACTGGCATGCTTATTGCTGCTCTCTTTGCCGGTCAGCACACTAGTTCCATCACTTCCATCTGGACTGGGGCATACCTCCTCCGTCACAAGGAATACATGACTGTTGTGTTGGATGAGCAGAAGAACCTGATGAGAAAGCATGGGAACAAGGTTGATTATGATATCTTGTCTGAGATGGAAGTCTTGTATCGGTGCATAAAGAAGCTCTGAGACTCCACCCTCTTTTGATAATGCTTTTGCGTAGCTCACATAGCGATTTTAGTGTTACAACCAATGAAGGGAAAGAGTATGACATTTCGAAGAGCCATATTGTGGCCACATCTCCTGCTTTTGCCAATCGACTTCCACATGTATATAAGGATCCAGATTCATATGACCCTGACAGGTTTTCTCCTGGGAGAGAAGAAGATAAGGTAACTGGGGCATTCTCTTATATATCTTTTGGTGGTGGCAGGCATGGTTGTCTTGGGGAACCATTTGCATATTTGTAGATAAGGCAATATGGAGTCACTTGTTGAGAAATTTTGAGTTGGAACTGATCTCACCTTTTCCAAAGATTGCCTGGAATGCTATGGTCGTGGGTGTAAAAAGGAAGGTTATGGTGCAATACAAGGGCAGGGAGCTTTTTGTTAGCTAACTAGTAACCAAATGGTTGCCAGATCATTGTGAATGCTTTGGCTGTTTAAATTATGCGCTTGGCCTCTAGGTTGCCATTACCCCTTTTTTGATATGCTGATTTCAGTGTCCATGTCTTTCCCTTAATTTGTGTTTCTTCAATTGACTTCTGAGTTGTTTTTATTGGATTGTGGTAATTTTAGTTTGTATTGGAATTAGTTTCATCTTATTGTTATGCTTTCATGATGTTAGTAATTTCTAGAAAATTGGTTTTGTTGACTTTGTGTCCAACCTTGGGGTGTTCTTGTTGAGTTTGATTTGATCCTATGATAATCTACAATCATATTTCATTAGTATACAGTGGCACCACACCACCTTGGAAAAGCAATGGACAAAACCAATTGCCCTTCGATGCAGAAGCCTTTGAACGGGTCCTTTTAGGCATTTCAGCCCTCTGACGCACAACTTGTCTTGAAAAGGCTAAAAACAACTGATCGTGCTTATTGTGCCCCTTTGGAGCGTAGAAATCAGAGATAGAGGTCTAAGATTTAAGGTAATAGGTGATAATCCTAGTCCTAATAGCTGTTGAATTATAGTATTAATCACAATATATAATTGTTGAGTGTCCATTTAAATTTCTGATACGCAGTATTGGATGGAGTTCCAATTCCTGTCTATTATCCATAAAAGAGACCAAAAGTTCCTTCTTTTACGAGTAATGGAATCGTGGTTTATCTGATTCTGATTCCAGACAATTGCACATTGCTAAGGACTTTCATTCGACAAAGAATGAGGTCCGTTTGTTCATAATACCAAGCTTTCTGTGTTCCTTTTATTTTTTTACTATGCATTTGTGCCCCGAAATACACACACGAGGAAATAATAAATCCACAGTCCACACTCACACTTTTACCACCAGGTACCTGTACACCATGAAATTGTCAGGAAAACGTACACGTTATACACTCTATCACCATGTTGAGATAGGCTATCATGCCTTGACATAAAATAATGGGCCTTAGCAACATTACTTGTCAAACTTTCTTACTTTCAATCTTTGATTTTGTTGTGGTAGTTGTGGTAGGTACCGACCAGTTTTGATAATAGTAAAATGGATGAATCTTCCGTGACAAATTCAATTTGCAGACCAGATCAAGTTCGAGAGTATTTATAAAAATCTTGCTAAATGAGAATTATAAAAACCCAACAATTGTTCGCTCGCTTGCAAGTGTATGTCAATTCATCATCAACAATCACAAGAAAAAGAATTTGATTTGGTTGATCGAAGTCAATGTCCATGTACACAACTACGAATGCCTTTATAGTCGAGAGTCTAATAAGAGTTTCAATGTCTCAAAAGAAATCTCAGACAGCTTTAAGTTCTTGCTGAAAAGTCAAGAAATTGAGCCCTTTCTCAAATGACACTTGTCATACATACAGTCATCTGTGAACAAGCAAAAAATAGAGCAAAAAAATTCTCTGGTTACACCGCATATCTGTCTAGGACCTTAGGTTTCAAAACGAATAGCAATTATAAAATGTCTCCCCCACAAAGGTTATCTTATGACTTCTCTGGACAAAACTAGAACTCATAAACAGTGTACTATAAACAAACATGTTTGAATTAGACTTAATATCACTAACAAGCATCTTTGTTGTTCCAATGGTGTTGTCCACCCAGTGGGTTCAACTAAATTGTTATTCAGTTTGAAATTATTTTTACAAGCTCAATATCAAACAAAAGAGTTTTGTCTATAAGTCCTTGGTTCCTCAGCACAAAGTCCAAGGCTCGTTGCCCCTGTGAAGCACATCAACATTAGGCAACTTCATGAAAAATTAACATAATGCAAGTCTGCTAGGAAGAATTCAATACCGAAAATGTTGTTGGTCTTGGGCCTCTCTTGTTGAAGTCATTCTCTGGATATCCTAGTTCTGGCGGCACTATGATCCTGCACAGTTTGTCAACCAAACTGTAAAAAGCCATCCCTAAAGTACGTATGCGTATTACCCTACTCCAACTGTGCATTCTAATTCTCTCTCAAACATGGCTGAAGTGAAAACAAAGGAGTACAAAATTCTGGCATGAGTAATAAACAGCTGTAGAAAGCCAAAACAAGACTAATAGTAACTTCACCAAGAGATTTAATATAGAAACAATGCATCAACTAATGAGGCGAAAGAAACTGGAATCAGTAATAAAAAATAGGTGGGTCAACTTCTTTTCTTCTATATTTTTATTATCTGGTTGGTAGACATTCAAAGTCATTGGTTCATGTAGATGGCGAAGAACTCTTTCTCGTGTATGATTGAACTTTTTGACTCTCTGTCCTCCTAATTGTTTGCTCACATTTATGTATTATTTGAGCATATATAAAATTTTGCCATTCACATGCCACTGGAATGTGTGCGAATGTGTGATTGGGGCTACGTGTGTGTGGTGGTACTATTTAAACCAGTTGATCATAAAAAACTACTTGCTTCAAGAAGGCTGATACATCACCTTCTAATGCCACCCAGAGCCATGCCTGAAACAGCTTCCTCAAAGGCTGGTATCACCTGAACACATCCAGGAACCAAGCACCATAAGAAGCTCCACCATGATTCCCAGTTACAAGTCACTAATAATGCTTCTTCATTTCAAAATTAGTTTAGCACCATAAGTTTATTCCTATTTCCCTTATGTTGTAACTACCGACATATTATGGTGTAGAATATACATTAGAAAGGGAAGAATCAAAGCTTCCCCAAAAAAAGTAATAAACAGAACAAACGTGATGCCCCATGTCAATGGATCCAATATGTCCTAATCATCTTGCCTGTCTAGAATTCAGAATGGAGAACAAACTTCTCACCTGTTGGACACCTATTTTGAATTTGTAGAAGTCCTTATCATCCCCCTGCAAATTAATATACACAAAACGTCATATTTTGATCGACTATAACATCAAGTCCTCCTTATATGATGAAAATGATGCAATACCTCAAAAGAACCACCCTTTGTCTTGTTTCGAGCTTCAAATATCCGTCCATAATATCCGATGGTGTAACCATCCCAATCAACCTAAAAGGCATTCATGATTCAGAAATTGCTTCAAACTTTCTCTTTTCTTCCTTAAAACACATCACAAAAAAAAAAAAAAAAAGGATGGAGTCAACAAGAAAGGTTTCACAACCACAAATTTGTTTCTTTCGTTGGTTCTTTTCTTAATAAATTTTCTTTCTTTCTTGGTTCTATTCTTGATATTACTTTTTTAAAGCTCAAACGATCAATAATATGTAAAACCAAGTTTCTAAAATGCATACTTGTTAACAATTAAACTCCAGTCTGAATATCAAAAATTTACATTTACATTGTTTTTCTTCTTTTGTTATTATTTTTTTCTTTTTTGAGTGTATCTGTGTGTGGTCGTGGTTGTCAGCGTTTTGTTTTTTTTTTTTTGGGGGGGGGGGGGGGGGGGGGGGGTTGGGGGGGGGGTGGTTGGGGGGTGTCATTACTAGCCATCCAGCATCGTAGATATACAATGAAATTTGAAAATAGGGAAAAACTTCAGCCACATGTCTATAGTTTGTCACATCTGTAAGGGCATCCTTTGCGGTATCTGCAACTTCAATGTACTCCTTTGTCTTGTATATAAACGTTTCAGTCATACACCTTACTGTGATCGCAATACTAAAAAGTTAAAAAAGGTTCTGCATCATACAAAATTCCTTTAAAAATGCTAATATTACCCCCGTAGTTTTCTTCTCCAAAACACATCAGATCGTTCACTAAAAAAACCCCCTTCGAACACAACCTAGGACATGACAATTCGAATGACAATCTAAAATACCAAAAACACAAATATAACCCAAACACCAACTTCAATCCGCAATGCCACCCATAACCAATGCAATCAAATACCATGCCCAATAGCTTGCTTGATTGGGAGACTACTATAATCTTCTGATAGTGTATGTCAATTTCAATCAATTAGCATTATTCAGTCAGTCCTCTTGCTCAATTCCATAGATTCGCCATATACTCAATTCAGCCCATATTGGCAAAAGCAAAGCATGGCCCCCACACACACATTTGTTTGAGAGGTCTCACTCGAAACCCAGAGTGGCAAAGGTGGTTGAAGAGAGGAATTGGAGGCGATGTCCCAATAGCCCTGTTACAAAGGAGTGCGGTAGTAGAAGATGATAAGGGGTGAAGCGTTGAGAGTATGGAGTAGGCAACAGTAAAGGGAGCTGGATAAAGAGTGGAATCAAAAAATATGTTGCAATCAACGGAACTTCAATCGGTAGACAGTTCTCAAGCAATTGCTTATGAATGAGTCCTAATACCTTGTTTCAAGACTTCCGTGGATGAATTTTTAAAGTGGTAGATACACAAAATAATTAATCAATAAAAATAGACAATTTTATTAATTCAATCAAATGAGTTTCAGTTACAGAATGACTGATGTAATAGCTTTCGATTACAACACTAACTACTTCCTAAAAATTAACTCTAGCACTGCTTTACATACCCTGATCGTGGGTCTTGTAGGAGATTTGAGTTGTCCTTCAACTTTTTTTCCTTCTTTTATAGCCACTCCCTTTGACGGTTTTTCCTTATTGACAGTTAATTGGCTTTGTAATTCTCAGGTAGTTATTCCTTATTTCAAACTAGAGTTGTGGCTAATTACTTCTCGCATTTTCTTCAGATCTTGACACGTGGCAATCCTCTAATAATTTTAGACTTGCCAATAATACATGCATCAAATGCTCTCATAATTTTGTATTTATGTCTATAGTTATCAAATCGTGTATCGGAAGGCGTATCGTAAGATACAAATATTGTATCGTATCGTGTATCGTATCGTGTATCGTAAGATACGATGCAATTTTAAATAAATAATAAAAAAATATATATACCTTTGAAAAAAAGTCATACACTCATAAAAAATATAGCATTTCATTAATACTCCACCAACTATTCAAGTTATCAACATAATCCACTACTATTATAATGCAAAGTTCACAACCATAGTTCACTAATTCAAACTTTAAACACCAAAGAGACTTCTAATCCAAATTTCTAACATCCATTTTGAACTCAATCTTCAATTTCAATTGAAAATGCATCATCATCATCATCATTGTGATCGGATGCCAACAAGTCTTCACTTGTCGTTTTTTTTTAAAAAAATCAGAGCACAAAACGACGTCGTTTTTAAAAAAAAAATAAAAAAATAAAAAAAATAAAAATTGCACGTATCGTGCGTATCGTACCGATACGTATCGTATCGTAAAAACGTATCGTGTATCGGACGATACAACGCAAAAACGATACATAACTACGATCCGTATCGTTTTAGGGCTGTATCGTAACGTATCGTACGATACGTATCGCGTATCGTACGATACTAACAACTTTGTTTATGTCCACACAATGCACCCTCATTTAATTGAGTTTTATTCTTAATTAACTTTAGGGAAATGAATAGTCATTACCGTTGCATCCTTTAAACATATGTTTAAAAACTTTTTGCGATTGAACTGTTCACTGAACTTCCCTCGTCTACTTCCTTTCTTGTCTCTAAAAACATCTAGCAATTTTTTCTCTTTCTGATCCATAATGGCTCCCAAAAAGCAAAACCCTTTATCTTCAACTACCTCTAAGATTTCTTTCTCACCAAGGTAATTTCCTGAAATTAAGTAAGCTGCCAATGAATCTGTAGACCCAAGAGTTTTGATTCCTACCCCTAACTCAAGTGGGGTTTTTGCTCTAGATCTTTCCTTTAAATCGTATGCTTGGGACGAATTTCCTGATTACTAACCCGTTCACGAAGACAACCCTAATACTGAACCAATCGCAACTTTCATGGAAACGATGGAACCAAGAAACCAACCCACTCTGATCATGGATCAACCCTAACTAGCGCTAGGTCAATTGGGCCACCAAGATGGAAGTTCTCTATACCTCTCAATGGCGAAGACTGGGTATTCTTGAAATGATCAAGCTTTTCACCTAAGACCTGCATATGAACTGATGGCTAACTGATGCTAGTGCATGCTTTTGGTCCCAGTCATGCAACACCAATGCTTCTTCCCATAGGCATGATGTCCCCAAGGATTTTAGATGTCATTTTTTTAACTGAGCTCCCTTGGTGTAGAGGTGAAATTCTTGTCTTTCTACAAGTTTTGGTCGCAATTTCTTCACTATCCCTTCTAGCATAGGGTATAATGATCTCATTAACCGTTTATTTGCTTCTCACTCCCCTACTTCATCATTCGCAGAAATCGTTTTTTTTTCTACTTCACTGGTTATGTTGATTTATTTTATGTGTCTCTAGGTTCAAAGTGACTCGAGAGTATGTATAGCCATTCAATTGGCTAGAAACAAAAAAATTGTCATAGCCCTTTTGGTATTGGGTGCATTGTATAGGGGCCGCTTTAACCTCATTGAGAATAGGATCACTACTAGCTATGGGGGTCCTTTTTGGTTTTTTCAGGCTTGGCTTTATGCCTATTTCCCTAAGGTTTGACCCTCCGCTACCTTGCCCGATCCTAAATTCATTCCTTTGAATTACGCTCATCAATTCCTTTGTATCCTAGTTCTTCGCACTGAAAAGACTTTTAATTCTTACTTCAACACTTTTTTCAATCTTCCTTTAGACCGAGATGATGTTGTACACCCCATTTCATAATTTCCTTTGTTTTGCCTCTCTTCCTAAGCCCTTTTTTGATGATCTAGATACTTTTTCAGAAGAGGCTATTGAATCACATCGTCTCTTTTGGGGTAGTGTTCTGATCCATGAGCAAGCACTAGTTCCAGAACTGTATTCTTTTCCCTTGCATGCATCCCTTTATCGATGAGCCTATAAGTGAGAGGTGAAAGATGAAATCTGGTACCTTAATTACCCAGATCTCCTAGTCTTACAAAAACTCCCTAGGGACCTTCCAATTCTTTCATTTTAGTTCTGATCCATCCTCGTCCCCTTTTTTGGAGAATGGTGGCAGAATATTTCTACCTTGCTTTTTATTGATCTTCTAGAGTAATATTTGTCCAGGCTCTGTTTTGACAACAGACACACTACTTACACTCCTTCTAATCGCAAGAAGATAACTGTCGAAACCCCTCCCCTTCCCCCTACTTCTTCTAACAAAAGGAAAACTATCTTGTTAGAAACACCAAAAAAGAAAAAGCAAGGACCTCCTTTCCAAAATTGTTGCAGTCTGTCATAGATGCTCATCATTCTCTCTTACAATCTTCTAAGAAAGCTAGAGCTCATCAAGCTGACGTCAACATTGCCTTGCCAACTACTGTCAATGACCAAGGCACAGAGGAAGTTCCACTTATTCGCAAGAAAAGGACAACTTCTACTCCTGTGAATGCCCTAGAAGCCACTTCCAAACAACTTACTTCACCCTCCAATCCAACAGTCTTGGAGAAGGCTCAAGATACACTCCCTTCCCTCCACTGGGCCAACTTGTTCCTTCTAACAAACAGACTGACAAAAGATTCAAAGTGGCTACGAAGGTGCATGAACCATTTTCTTCAGCATTCTTGCTTTCTTTTTCTGACTAAGCATACATGTCCTTATTTCCTCTATCTTTCTTTTTTGCGAAAAGGGACCAAAGAATTACCTACACCTTTCAAAACCATCGATCTAGTGCAATCTATCTCTCCTCCTCTTACTCAAAGCGGCAACGTCCCCCTCATGAACTAAGGGGAGAACATGCTGGCAGCTATAGTAGTGGCTTCTCCTATCAGCCAATTCATGCCTCCTCCAGCTATCAAGGATCGCATAGCCACCCGTCAGCCTCATTCTCCTACTAATACTAGTGTAAACCTTAAAGAATAGATTAACACCAAACTTGTCATCCTCCCTCCAACACTCCCAATTGAAGATCCAATCGATCCTTCCAACTTAGGTGTCCTTCTATAGCGTCCTCTCAACCTACCTAACTCTGTTCAGGAAAAGGCTGCCCATGAGGATTCCTCTGCGCAAACACCCCCTGACTAAGTCTGGTAATAAGCCACATCAATTAAAAAAGTCCCTACCTTCTACCTCTTCTGTAAATAAGGTATATACCTTTTTCATTTGCTCATTTCCCCTCTTTCTCTATATCTACTCCACTAATGAATGCCCCTCTTTTCTCACAATAAATGCCTGAATCCATATCTCATGTTTCCACTTCTGATCTTGATATTAAAGCCACTTATCAGAAAAAAGATAAATTCATGAAAGTAGTGGACTCCATGTCGACTTCAATTATTTCTCTTCCACCCATCGATGATGCCTTACAGTAAGAATTTTCTCTTCTTTTGTTTCAAATTACTGGAGTTGTCCTTTGATCAACTCATTGAGACTGACCTTACCTTTGTGGACTCATGTTTAGCCAAAATCTCTATTATTTCATCAACTTTCTTCAACGAACAACAACAAGAACAAGTAGCCTACATGAGTGCTCACCCATAAAGGAAGATCTCCCAAGAAAACTAATTCAAAGATGAAGCAAGGACCACAATCAGTTTCATTAATTCTATCAAAGACTTCGCTCCTCAGCTTATTTCCAATAAAAAAAACAGAGAGAAGTTGAAAGAAAGAGATGTTCTACTATCCCAGAAAGAAAGAGCTCAAGGAAAAGCTATCAAAAGTGATGGAGGAAAGCTATGTAAGAAGGCAAAAAGTAGAGAACTTGCTTCTTCACACGAAATATCTATTGGCCTCCCACCAAGATGGAAGTGGCAGGGTATTGCCTGCAACCGAGAGTTTGAAACATGCCCAACAACAACTACACTTGCTCTCAAACGAATGAGATACTTTCAAGCTCTATTTTCTTTATAGATTCTTATAACCTTTGTATATTCTTCTCCCCATTTTTTTTTTGTACATAACCATCTGGTC